AGTAGAATTTTGGAAGAAAGTTTTTAAAAGGTTATCTCAGATTATAGCTCAGACAATTCCAGTAACACCAGCATTAGCCTTACTTAATTTATATATTCCAAATATGGACAAATGAGGAAGGAATTAATAACATTTATTAACAGCAACTAGAACGGTAATAGCCAGAACTTGGAAAACCTTGAATTTAATGAATATTGATCACTGGTATGGTATAGTATAGTCTGGGAAACAATGGAAAAGCTGTCACAAAAATTGAAGGTGGCAAGGGGACAAAGAAACAAGACATTTTACAAGGTATGGGGTGAATTAATTAAATATACAAATAAAATAACACATACCTTGCAATATGGCATAGATAAGCAGGTACTATTCATTAGCTTTCCCGTATTAATCTGTGTTTTCTAAGTTGATTTATTGAAGAATTCATTTTACTGGTTTATTGAAACCACTTGATTATTATGTACTGTAAAATAATGTTTAGTATTTTACTTCCCTAGTGATCCATTCTTTGTTAGTCACGTCATGTTTTATTATTTATGTGTGTACAAAAAAATGCAGGGGAAGAGATATCATGTGCTGAGATTTGAGTTTGTGGGTGTGCTTTAATTAGATTCACAGTCGCCAACAGCAATTTGGCAAGTGCATTTGTGGAACCCTGACTTCATGCCACTGAAAATTCATCTTCTCCTGCTAGTGTAGGTAGAAGTTATATCAGAAAGCACAAAGAGAAATGAAAGCAATTACCTTTCTCCTGGTGTGGAAGACAGACCGCAAATGCCCCTTTCCCTTAGGACAGGCTTTTCCAATCTGTTGCCCTCCAGAAGCTGTTGGACTACAATGCCTATCATCCCTGCCGATGCTTACTTCACTGATACTCCTAACACCACTCCTTTAACTGGCTTTGCTGTCCATAAACCAAGAGTGGAGGAACTGTGTGGCCTTCTAGGGGTTACTTGACTACAACTTCCATAATCTATGGCTACTAGCCATGCTGGCTCATAGAAATTAGAGAAGAACAAAGTTGTTCTACAAAGTGAGCACTACACCTTGTAGATCCAAAAGTTCAAGCAAGCACCAGTTTTTGAAAGTTTGTCATGGGTTACATGTAGGAAACCATTCCCCCTACTTTAGCAATATTAACAGCCATTGCACAAGTCCCCATGTTAATCTTGGACCTATTTACAGGGCTAGGAAACAACATTCCTGCCAATAAGAAAGCAAAGCAATTAAGGAAGGGCCGAAAGCTGCTGTACTAGACACAAACCTGGAAGCAAAAGACCAAGAATCAACACTGGCATATAGAACAAGCAACAACCAAGTTGATTGTTGTTGTTGTTGTTGTTGTTATGAGATTAAGTTAGGCTGGCATTCACTCACTCACTCACTCTGCTGCCATCCCTTTTTATAGCACATCTCTCAATATTTGGTGATCATCTAACATACTATATTAGCACATGACTAAATAATCATCAAAGTCTATCCACAAAGCTACATGCAAATTCCAACTTGAGCGCGCTTCTCCCCACCCGCCAGCCCCATAAATCACATTCTAGCTACTCTGTTAGCAAGTCTAAAGAGAAATCCGAGATGGTTATTGCCAGGATTGTATAATTAGTTTTCTTTGGTATATAAGCTAATACAAACTTGCAAGTTGGGTATATACCGTATTTTTTGCCCCATAGGACGCACCTAGGGGTTTTTTTGGGGGGGGAATAAAGAAAAAAAATTATTTCCTCCCCAGGCGCGGGGCAGGGGTGGGGGAAGCCCGAGCTTCCCCCGACCCCAGCCCCCAGAACAGGCAGCTCTCCGCAAGCCTTGGGAGACCAGCGCGACTTCCCGCCGGGCTCCCATGGCTTGCGGATATCTGCCTGAAGCCCAAACCAGGTCGGGGAACAGTGGGATGGCGGCACTGCGCCTCCCCACTGTCCCCCCAAGCTTGTGGGGCTGGCGACGGGAACTCCCGCAGGCTCCCAAGGCTTGCTGAGAGCTTCCTGAAGCCTGGAGAGCAAGAGGGGTCAGTGCGCACCAACCGCTCTCCAGGCTTCAGCGAAAGCCTGCATTCGCCCCAAAGGATGCACACACATTTCCCCTTCATTTTTGGAGGGGGAAAAGTGCGTCCTATAGGGCGAAAAATACGGTAGCTATTTGTTTCAAAGTTAAAACAAATCTGTTTAAGACCACCATTTAGAAGAATTAACAGAAACACTAAACGAGAAAATGCTTAATAGAAGTCATTATTAGAGGGGGGAGCATAGGAATATGATTTCTTTGAAAGGCGGAGGTATCTGTCCAATAAGCCACACTTATATGTAAAGATGAATAATTGCCAGTTTTTCCAGATTCTCAATAGCTGCTCCAAAAATTTTACCATTCACCATGTTCTCTTGGGAGCAAAATCTGTGTACTGTAGTTCTAGTGCTTTATGACCCATCTTGAGGACACAAAAATAAATTGCTCAGTGGCTCTTGAAATAAGTCATATTGCTCAGACACCACTGCTCAATGAAGACAGGGGTTTAACCACCAGAAGCAGACTCACTACTTGCTTGGCATTCAATGGCCTTGAGCTACTACCCTGGAAAAAACCCAGGCTTCACAGGCCCAGATAAAAATTTCATAAAATTAAGTCTTGCTTCCAGTTCTGTATTTGTGCACCAACTCCAGCACAGTCACATATAATTACTGGCTCCTTCTCTTACAAAAGGTGGCCATTACACCGGCAATTCCAGATGATTACCCCATTTGGTACCTCAACCCTAACACAACCAAGCAATGACACCAACCCTGCATTTAAGCACCGGCCTAGAAACCATAAAGGGACTACTGCATAAAACTGAGTGTATAAAATTCTATGTTAGTGAATGAATGGGCTGGCAGAGAATCAGATGAGGAAAGTGCCCACCCCCAGCACAGAAACACAACAGTTTGCTGCAAGAGTGCGATCCTCCATCTCTTTTTCGCCAGTCCCCAGAAGGCTAGCAAACATTTTTGCAGACTAACAATGTTATTTCCAGAGTATCCTCACTGCATTATGTGGGATTTTCAACAATCACTTTGTGCTTGTTAATTAAGAACATAATTTGAAGTTCTGGTTTTTGAAGGGGAAAAAAATGGGCATATAATGAAGAGACAGTCAAGATGTAGCAAATAATTTTATGGAACAGCTCCCTTGTGGCTCTTAGTGCATAATATATTGTGGGAAGTTGCAAAGGAGCAGGGAGAAAAGGTTTTGTATTACTCATTGAACAAATTCCAATGTAGCTCAACTTATTTGCCCACTTCTAAACTAGGTGTTAACAATAGCCATACCTTCTGTTGTTATGACATTCTAGAAAGGATCCAAATTTAGAAAGCATTTTTTGCAGAGTAACTACTACACTTCATTATAATTTAAACTTGGTTAGCTGTTGTACTGGGGGCAGGTTCCTCGGTTTTTCAAGTAACTCGATTGGACTAACTAGTGTAAAAAAGGAAAGTATCCTTTTGGTAGAGAAGCCATTACACTTTTCATGCTTCCCATTCGTAAAGTGGCTGCATTGGTGATCTATCCCACAAGACGAAATGAGAATAAAAATGAGAACAAAAGCTTCTGAGGACACTACCCGGTGCACACTTACGTGGAAGTATGCTCCCCTAATCTTAGTGGAACTTACATCAGAGTAAATATCAATAGGATTACAATATAAAACCTGAGTTTAAATCCCAACTGAGCTATGGACTAACTCGGTGGCTTTGGCCAAGTCACTACCTCTCCACTTCAGATCCTGCAAAGAAGACAGCAGCAACCTGAATCACAGGGTTGCTGTAAAAGTAAAATAAAACAGTAAGACATTTGTACATTAAGCGTGTTATTTAAAATAACTATCACTATTAATAACTTTGTGTGTGACAACTCTGCTTTAAGTACTCACTGCAATTTACAATGATTTCAAGAAGTCAGATTTCAACAGTAAACAATAGCTTCCAGAACAACTCTCACTGAATTTAGTCGGTCCAATTAAAAGGATCACTCATCGAGCCACCTAGAACTCCATTTATTTAGCAGTAACCTTGATTTGAATTTTCAAAGTACTTTTAATTACTTAATTATCGTACAATTCTAATTACAATCTTTGTTCCATTCCGGAATATGTCAGTGCCATTTTCTCCACAATGCTGTCTAAAAACTAAAACTAAAGGAAAAAAGTAGCTTGCTTAAGGCTTCAATAAGTTTGATCCTAAGACTTCCTGGCTCACACTGAGTGCTGGCAGGAATTTACCCTTGGCTCCATTTCTATTACCAAAAGACCAACCCAATTGATGCGGAATATCCCTTCCTCACAAATTTGCCAGCTTACTGAGAATATTAGCACGCACTCCCCCCCTCCCCACAACCAAGTTTGCCTCTTTACCTCAGTTTCTTCCAGTACTAGAAATGCAGAAAACCAGAGGAGGCCCAAGCCTCTTAACTATTGAAGTTGCGTGTTTAGGAAACTGTAGTGGCCCCCAATATGGCTACATTTAATGGAAGCCATGGGGTGGTGTTTCAGATTTAACTCCTCCCCATCTCCCGACCACCCGGATAATGTTACTCGTTTTCTCCGCTCACACCAAAGCTTACCTTTCTCTGTCTCTTAAAAGTGAACTCCTCTCACGCGCAACATGCCCCAGGCCGCGCCGCCCTTCGAGTCGAGTCGCCCGCCGCCACCTCCAGCAGCCCCCCTACGACTTCCTACACCCCCTTAAAGGTGGCAAATTTCCCCTCCAGGAAGGTGGAGCCCCACATCCCGCCCCAAGTCCTCGCGGGGCTGACTTGCCCGTGCCTCCTCCCACAAGGCGAGTCCGTGTTTGTGCCTGAAGAAGGGGGGGGTGTCTCTCCCTCGCAGGACTCTGCCCACAAACGGCGGCGATGGCCGCCTGCGGGCTTACGAGGCCCAGGCCAGAAGATTCAGCTTTTCCCGTTTCACCCCTTTCTAGAGGGGAGGCGCCCCCCAACCGCCCCGGTGCCACCCCGCAACTCACCACACCAGGTCTCCGAGCCGCAGGTTCACAGGAACAGCCGCCGCAGCCGCAGCCATTTTCCTGACCCGGCCGGCACCGTCGCTGTTGCTGCCGCCGCTACCACCTCCTCCTCCACAGCCGACGCCGCCACACCCCTCCTCAGGCTCCCCCTCCTTCCGCCCCTCAGCAGCCAGAATTGGCAGCGACGACGATCCCTACTGCTATTCCTCTTCCTTCCTTCTCTCTCTCGCTCTCTCTCTCTCTCTCCCCCCCACTCTGCCGCAGAGCCTACCGGGACACTGGCTGGCGCGCGCGCAGCACGCACTCTGTCGCCGCCCCCTCCCTCCTTTCCTCAACAGCAGCAGCAGTACAAAGACCGACGGGAGGGGAAGAGGAGAGATGGATGGGAAGCGATGCCCTGTAAGATCAGCGCGCTCTCTGATAGGCCGGCCCTTTGCATGTGACGCGGGAGAGCTCCGCGCGTGACCTCTCCCCCGCCCCCCTCTTCTGCTCTGCTTGTCAAAAAGCGAAGAGCGCGAGCGCGTTCCGTTGGGGTCAGGTGACGCGGGCCTCGGGGGTTTCCCTCCAACCCTGGCTTGTTGTTTTTCGTTCTCTCCGCCCTCTCCCCTTGCACGTGACTTGAGGGAGCGAGGAATTGGATCCGGCGGCGGCGGCAGTTGCAGCAGCGGCGGCGGCGCTTGCGAGAAGGGTTAAGTGCTGAGGCCTCGGCAACGGTTTGAGGTAGCCGGAGGCAAGGCGGAGAGGTGCCGTGAGGCGACTTTGGAGTCGAAGAAATGGAGGCGCGCCGGTAAGCGTTGCTTTCGGGTAGAGGGCGGGAGAAGGGACAAACCTCCCCAGGCGCTCCAAAGCGCCTCCCTCGTTACCAGGGGCAACGGGGCCTTTCGCCACCTCGCCGGCTGGGAATAACCGACACCTTTTCTTTGAACCCCCCGCCCCCCCCCCGCCCGATTAACCCGGACTTGGAGATGAGCTTCGGCTTTCTCCGCTCTTTCCCCCTAATACATAATGCAGGGGAAATGTGCGCGTGGGTGGGCAGCCCTTTCAGAGTGTGGGAAATTGCCGTTTGTGCTTTTGCATTTATTTTGGGTGCATGGATCGGTGCGGGGGAGGGGAATTAGGTACCGCGAAGCCTGAACGAGGAGAAGGGGGAATCTTTTCATAGCCTCTTACACGCCACACCGGAAAACCCCTAGTGAGCTACATCAGTAGCTACTACCTGGGATGTCTGTAAACAAAACCTCCATGTGCTGGAGCAGTCTACGTCAGCGCTAGATGCTGTGGGTAAATAACGGTGCAGGCGTGTGGGGGGGAAAGGACCAGGGTTCTGCTTTTGTGGGCTTCCTGGAGAAGCTTTCTTGACTGCTTTTGGAAATTGGGAGCGTTGGATCAGACCAGCAGTGGAGGGAACTTGTACGCCTCCAGATGTTCTTGGGCTCTGCACTCCCATCCCCCCTCAGGATTATTGGCCATGTTGCTGCGGCTGGTGGGAGTTGGGCCTCAGATTTCCCCACTTTGGGGGTTAAGTAGATATGTCAAGATAGATCTTGTAGCCTTGCTGGTGTCTTTTGGACAACAGCACAATGGGGCTTCCCTATACTGAGACAGTGTACCTCTGAATACTAGGGGCAAGTCCAAAGGAAACAGCCATGTATCTATCTGACCCATCAGTGTTTGTGAGAGAATGTTGAAACAGGTGGACTTTGTTCAGATCCTGCAAGGCAATTAACCTATTTCTGTGTTTCAAATACTTTGCACTTGCATTAGTTACATTTCCTTAGTGTCCAGAGCATGCCACACATGTTATTTCAATCATCCTTTTAGTCATAAAACGTGAGCTAGTGGTTTTATCTCTATATTCTAAATTATGAGGTGGTTGTGGTGAGGTTTGAAGGGTGGGTTGTTCAAAGGCCACCTTCTAAGTTTATATGATTTAAACTTTGGACTTCCCGGCTTTGCTAAGCAGCACATCATGCCAACTTTTCTACCTTATTTTTGAGCTTAGCTTTCCTACAGTGAACCTCACTTAGATAAAGGAGGCGGGTGGGGAGTGACTAAATGCCAGAAAACAATAAAGAAAAATTGGCCTGTTGTTGCCATGGGGACCAGAAGCATGCATTCCATTAACTTTCTGGAAACTGAAATAAGTTCTATAAATAAAGGAATGCTATATGTGAATGCCTGGGCTACTTGGATCTCGCAGACCTAATCCTGTTATTGTGCCATTGCACTGACAGGAAAGTGCATTGGTTTTGTTCTGACACTCAACCTGATGCTGTCAAGACAGAGCAGAACAGAGTGTAGTTGTTAGCATCCATCTGTCTTGAGAGACAAAGGAATGTGTCTCCAGGGGTGAAGCCAAACCACTGGAGAGTCACAGCGCTTGCTGTGGCTGCAGAGACTTGTAACTCGTAGCTGTTGCCTCCTGCATTGTTTTTGCTGAATTAGCAGCACTGAAGTAATCTCTCCGGGGTGCCAACCTGGGCAGTGTGTATGGAGGTTTTGGGTTACCCAGACAACAAGAACCCACTCTTGGCCTTGCTGATGTGGTCCAAAGGGAAACATAGCAATACATTTGGCACCAGCTTGAGCTGCAGGAGTTGATGGAAAGAGGCATACAAGACAACGGTCTTAGGGACTCCGCTCCGGATTTGTGTAGGGTTTACTCCTTAGCCTTTTCATCTCCCAAGGATTTCCCACAAGGCAGCAGGTACAGATTTTTCCTTGGGGTTTACTCACAAAGCAACGGGTGGGGGAGTCATTTGACAAAGAGACTTTTGTAGCAGGTGCCCCCAAGGACATGACTCACACAAATTTATTCTCCAAAGCATGTTGTTTGTGTGCAGCTCACTTTCTGTGTCATGGGGAAACAAAGTACTATGTTACTGCTGTACATTGAACAGTCAGTCGTTCAGCAGCAACATCTCCAGTTGTAGATATTTTATTTGGGAACAGTTCCTCATCCAAGCTGCCGCAATTGGCTTTTTCTCTCATCACTATTTAGAGGACTTTCTGTCTGTCAGTTTTCACTCTAGAGAGTGGATCATCTAATACTTTGTGTAATAATTTTGTTGATTATCTTCTATTGGCATGAAGCATTTTCATCCACAATCTGTCAGAGCCCAAACCATGTCTATTGGTTACTGCCAATCCTAAAAAAGTAAGAATTGCTTTGTTGGGTTAAGAACAAATGTTTATGCTTAGCACTCTGTTCCCAAATGTGCCCCGATGGGTGCTCAGAGAGGGTGTAATAGTGACTAAGCTTTTATTGGTTGGTCTCTGCCAACTGGTAAGGACAAGCATGCTTTTTCTGAACATGGAGCTTCTATTTCTGCCTGTTATGGCTAATATTTTTGGGCATGCATGTTCTCTATGACTTTAATGCTTTTCTGAAATCATTTGTTTAGTAGCAATTACTACATTTCATGGCATCCAACTGTGTAATTGAGTATTGTGTGGAAAAATTATTTGCTTGGACGTTCAGAGATCTCATCCAGTTACAGCAGGAGTGGGGAACATTTGGACCTCCAGATGTTGCGGCACTTGTAGTTCAGCAGCATCTGGAGGGCTAGAGTATCCCTACCTGAGTTACAGGGTACAGTCATTATTCAGTACAGCACCAGACCTGCCAGACAGGCCTCATTTGAAACATAGTCCATGGAGGAACAGAAATTGTGTGTTCACCTGTTCTGTTTTTTGTGGCTGGAACTTTCTGATTTTGTCTTTTAGGTAGAAATATGAAGATACGTCTTTGGAAAGAAGTTTCAGAGTACTATCTACATGCCACGGATCTGGATTTGTTTGGGACTGAATGCTAGCAGATCGGCATTTGTATTCAGCAGAAGGCCGGAGCATATGTGTTCAGTGTTTTTTGCATTATGTCAGTTCCCAGTGTGGGAAATTCTCTGATGTGGAGTAACATAGCCCAGACTGACCTTTCCGGCCAATGTCACAATGAAACTGATTCCATAAAAGTTGCACTGTTCAGAAAGTTCTTTCTTTCTTTCCTTCACGTTTGGCTCGAAGCAGAGTTGTGCTGCATAAACGTCAAGGGCCACATGCTAACCTGCAGTGGTGTGGCTATGGGATGATGATTCTTCTCTTATGAAAGCAGAAATTGTTGCATTGTTTTTCTTAAAACGCAGGAATCTAGCATATCTATTAATTTCTGCATTTGGCATCCATCTGTGTGTGCGTGTTTTCCAGTGGTGATGCCCTCATGTATATACTAGTCCAGACTTTGGCCTAGACTGTTGGAAACCATGCCATGATAGCAGCTGCAACGTAAGTCTAGCCATGACGGAACCCCACAGGGTCCAGCTCACCTCTCTGTCTGGTCCACTGAGCACCACTTTACTGAAAAAGCCTCGCCGGGAGGACATCACAGGAACAGAGCACCCCCCGGAAGCTGAACCTGCAGCTGCAGCAGTTCGCATTGCCCTCACCCTTTTTGAGCCAGATCACAAGCGCTGTCCAGAGTTCTTTTATCCAGAGCTGCTGAAGAATACACGAGGGAAAGGGAAAAGCAGTTCCACAGGAGAAAAAGTATGTGGACATCTTATTGTTCCTGTCGCACATTTTTTAGTTGTGCATTTCAAAAACCCCACAACAAAGCGTTGAGATCTCTTGAGGATGGTGGACACCTGGTTTGACAGCAGTACATGTGAACAAGATCTAGGGGTCTTAGTAGACCTCAAGCCTTAACATGGGTAAAGAGTGTGATGCAGCAGCAAAAAAATTTAATACAGTTCTAGGGTGAATCAACAGAAGTATAGAGTCCAGATCAAGGGAAGTAATAGTGCCACTGTATTCTGCCTTGGTCAGACCCCACCTGGAGGACTGTGTCCATCCATTCACCATTTTATTTGCATTCCAAATTTCCATAGCCATAACCATGCTCAAGGTGGCTTACAACATGGGGGGCGGGGATCAAAATTGCAAATGTAACAAAACTAGCTATGAAGAAGCAAACCGTCAAAAAGTACACAACCAAACTGAACAATTTCCACATAAATCATAAAATCTAAAAGGGAGATATGAAAGATTAATATCAATAATGGCAACCCTCCTCCACCACAAACAATACCCCAGCCCAGTTCTGAGCACCACAGTTTAAGAAATATATTTACAAGCTGGAATGTGCATGGAGGAGGGCAACCAAGATGATCAGGGGTCTGGAAACAAAGCCTTATGAGGAACAGTTGAGGGAGTTAGGTATGTTTAGCCTGGAGAAGAGAAGACTGAAGGGTTATGGTGGCCATCTTCAAATGCGCTTCCTTGGAGGTTTTTTAAACAGGTTGGATGGGCATATCTTACTGGGAAGATATCAGAAAACCTATAAGATATTGATGGATTTAATTATTAAGCAAATCAAATAATCAAATGAGATGGGAATATAATTAAATAAGATGGGAAGGAGAACTGGGATGGCTTATTTTAGAGAAGCAAGGGAATAAGATTTGTAGTTAGGTACATAGTTTTTCACTAAGTTTATCAAGTACAAAGGCACAATATAAGTCATTGTTGAGATGGTATTTGACACCTCCAAGACTAAATAGGATATATTCAATAAATCAATTTAAATACTGGGAACATACAGCATGGAATGCACATTTGTTGCCTATGTGGTGGGCTTGCCTGAGTGCAGCTATCACTGACATAATAGGGACTATATTGAGGCCCACTCCAGTGCTGGTTTTATTCAGTGTAATTTAAGATGAGATGGGGAATAGATTGAAACTATTGTTTATGTATTCTGTTGATAGCAGACAGTATACTGTGGGCTAGAAAATGGAAGAATCAAGAAGCTCACTTTGAGTGGGATTGGTTAATAACATGTCTGGAATTGGCAGAGTTAATTTAAAAGAGAGGAGGAAGTTTCGTAGAAGGTTGATTTCTCTGGAAGAATAAGCTTTTTACTTGAATTTTAAAACAAAATATGGATATAGTAAGGCTTTGTCAAGGATGGCTGATGCTAATATTTGAGCTGGGACTAAAATCTCTATGGTCTTCAGATACATTCTTGCTGCTAAACAACACTGAAAAGTTTGTTTACAATGATGATTTTTAGGGCACATACTTGACAAATTTCTTTCCCGTGTAGCTGCTGGGTTTTTTTTTAATTCTTTTAGACTGGAAGCCCAAGGGCACGCTCTCCTGGTTTTGTCAATGTGATCTCCTACAGCATGAACCAAGTCTCCACCTTTGCAACACACCGTGTCTACAAGCATGAATCTCCACTGAATATTCCAGACTCTCTCCTGGCCCTTAGATAAAAGAGGCATCTCTGTGAAACAGTGTGACAACTGACTCAATTCTGATGTTGTTCACCTCCCTTTTTGCTTCCCCCCTACAGAAAAAAGACCTTGCCGATCCCTTCAATGATGAGGAAAAGGAGAGGCATAAAGCAGAGGCACTTGCCAGGAAGCTTGAAGAGAAATATGTATGTTTCTTCATTGTGGTCATGTACCAGAATAAAGTCTTGGTTTTAGCTTTCTTCATAGAAATGTTGTCTTTAACACCAGGGTGATTCTTGTGTTTATATTCATGTTAGGAGTGTGTATACAACTAAGAACTGCTATGGTAATTACTATGGACTGGTGCCTGATAAAGTGATGTGTGCAGCACCAGTATTCAGGGAATATGAATATTTACATTTTCCCTTCCTTCAAAAGTTCATGGCTGTGTGCATGGTTCTCCCCTATCCATTTTATCTTCACAACAATCCTACTGGGTAGGCTGAGATAAGGGATAATGACTAGTCGAAAGTTACCTAGTGACCTTCTGGATGGTTTGTTTGGGCTGTGGGATATGGGAATTCAGGTCCAGGTTTCCACATCTGCCCCTGACACCAGCAGGAGGTTCTGCAGGTGGCAGATTTACCAATGGAAGTGTATTTGATCCATTGAACCAAAGAGCTTCTATGAATGGTTGCAATTGGGGGGGGGGGAACCAATGGCTAAAATGTTTCTATTTGGAATAAAGTTAAATTGATACTTTAATCTACTCCTTGACAATACATAATGGATGCTTATTTTTATATGTGTTATTACAAGTACTGTGTATGTGTGTTTTAAATTCTATTTTCCGCTCTCTGATTATTTGTATGGGGTTATTGGGTTGTTCTTGTTTTTATTTTGATTATGTATTTTGTGTTTTTATGTTGTGATTTTAGCCTGTGAACCGCCCTGAGACCTGTGGGTATAGGGCAGTATATAAATTTAATTAATAATAATAATAATAGCTTGCCTTCTTTGGGGCCATTATGGGTAACCATCAGCCTTTCTTGTTTCAGGGTGGAAAGAAGCGCAGGAAAGATCGTGTCCAGGACCTGATAGATATGGGATATGGATACGATGAATCCGATTCTTTCATTGATAATTCTGAAGCAGTGAGTAGCAGTGGAGGGCTCTGGTTCCCAACAATAAAGCAGGTGATGAAGCTGTCTGCCCTAGCAGCAGTGGGTGCTCCAGGTAGGGTGAACATCCAGGCCACATCTGCACAGAGACCTGGTTTGGAGGCTGTGTTTCCGGGTTCCAGAGCTATGTTGTTTTTCCTGCCTGCAGGTAGGGCTGGTAGTGTCCTCTTGTCTTGACAGTAAGAGCTGTTTGACAGTGGAACGGTCTCCCTGGAATGGGGGTGTGGACTCTCCTTCCTTGGAGGTTTTTAAGCAGAGTGTAGACAGCCATCTGTCAGGGTTGCCTTAGCTGAGATTCCTGCATTGCAGGGGGTTGAACTAGATGACCTTTGGGGTACCTTCCAACCGATTCTGTGAAAGCCTGGAGAAGCGCTACCAGTCAGTGTAGATGATACTGACCTCGATGGGCCAGTGGAATGACTTGGTGTAAGGCAGCATCTTACCTTCCTGTGATTTCTGGGTCATCTTCAGATTCATTCTCCTGCATGTGCCTTTTACTCTGTAGACTCTTTGGGTCTTAAATATTGCAATTGCTGGGGAAAATAAATTAAACAATTCACATTATTAAACAGTTGCCATTTGGAACCCCTCCCCAACCTACTGCAAATTGCCCAATGATCGGTAGATATTCCTGCCCCTGCTCTAGAGCAGTGTTTCCCAACCTTGGGCCTCCAGCTGTTTTTGAACTACAATTCCCATCATTCCTGACCACTGGTCTTGCTAGCTAGGGATGATGGGAGTTGTAGTCCAAAAACAGCTGGAGGCCCAAGGTTGGGAAACACTGCTCTAGAGGACCCTAGGACCTGGCTGCATGCTTAGAGCTTTTTCCCCTTTCTTTTCTTCCTAGAAGACTGGATTTTAGCATACATAGCCTGAAGGGGGGGGGGAGGGTTTGGGAGTGGGAGCTGTTGCACCCAAAACAAAACAGGGAAAATCAGGGCACAAAGCTAGGCATTATAGTCAGGGCAGTTAATAAAGATGAGGGAAGAGAAGTAAAGCTGTTGCCAAAATGTATTTCTGTACAAAATGATGCAGCTGTAAGAATCTGGTATTTTTGCATGTCCAAAGTGACTTCAAGGCCAATTCACTGGAAAAGTGAGCATGGTTTCATTGGGGTTCTTTCACACGTACACCCATCGGTTCTACAAGAATGCTGACTGATCTCTCCTCTTTGCCCCCAGTACGATGAGCTCGTTCCAGCATCTCTAACAACCAAGTATGGAGGCTTTTACATCAACTCTGGAACTCTACAGTTCCGGCAGGCTTCGGAGTCGGAGGATGACTTTATCAAAGAGAAAAAGAAGAAATCACCTAAGGTCTGGGAATAAGATGCTCTGGGTGCTTTCTTTTTTAAATAGTGCCTTCAATAAAGTGTGGTTTTGTTGGCCTACAAAATGTGACTGCAGACGAAGGGGTCAGTGGGTGGATATAATATTTTGTTACCTGAAAGAAGCTCAAAGGCTGAAATTATGTGTGGACTTACTTACCCCAAGCAAAGCAGAAAATATAAAAATAGTTGTTCAGCATAGAGGACATAAAGACCTTCAGTGCACTCTTGACAAATCAGGAAGTAGATGGTTTATAATTTACCCTGCTTGCAGTTCATATTGTAAGCAACATAGAGTGATCCCTTTAATGGAAGGTTATAGTGACTGAGGTCACCTCATAGCTAGTAGGCTTTCCCTCCCTTTAAAAAGAAATGAAAGTGCTACCTGTGGTTTATAGTTCATGGGTAGGAGGAAATCAATGGACTTACATTAGTCACGTCCATTAATTTGTTCAGAGTGTTTCTCCGGGTCCCATCTGCAATGTACATTTAAAGCAATTTACAACTTTAAATAGTCATAGCTTCCCCCAAAGTATCATGGGAATTGTTGTTTGTTAAGGGTGCTGAGAGAGCTACAGTTCCCAGAGTTCCCTCTTTTCAGAGAACTTCGGGAATTAAAGCTCTGGAATGGGAATAGTGTTCTCCAAATCGCTTTCACCACCCTTAACAGTTCATAGGATGTCTTGTGAGAAGCCATGGCTGTTTAAAGTCGTAGTGCTTTAAATGTATAGTGCAGATGTGGCCTTAGTTGGATCCAACTCACTAATTTCATTCTGTGGGTGACTTCATTGAATCTGGTAGCTGAAAGAGATGAGGAATCTTCTCTTGGTCTTTGCATGACTCCAAGCTGTTGTTCTAGTATTAGGGGCTGCCTGAGAAAGTGTTTTGCAGCCCTCTTTGGGCTTGGAGACGATCCTTAACAACCTTATATCTTCCTTGCCCTTAGAGATGCTTCATCTTTTCCTTTTACCATAATGGAGAGTTAATCACTTGTTAGCAAGCATGTTCATGAATGACTACATGCCTGAGCAGCACCTTTCTCTCTTTTCATAAAGGTGCTGCTCAGGCATGTAAATCCATCCATGAACACTCTTGCTAACAAGCAATTAAATCACTTAGTGTCTTCTTAGGTGCTACGTAATGACAATTGTTAAAATTATTTAATTCCCAGAAACGAAAATTAAAAGAAGGAGGTGAGAAGATGAAGAAAAAGAAGAAGGATGATTCTTATGAGAAAGAAAAGAAATCTAAAAAATCTAAGTTTCCCAAAACTGGGTAAGTCAGCTATTTGTATCAAAGTGTTTTTTTTAATAGACGGGTATCATCTTTCTCCTAGATGGAACTTCTTTTGTGGATTTTTAAAAGGAAACACTAGAAAAACAATTCTAAGCCTTGGAGTGTGATATCTAAATTAGGTTCAAATCCCTCTTTTTGCCACCAGTTTTCCAGATTTGTGTTAATCAAATCTGTCATAAACAAACCAGGAAGGTTGTGAGGGTGAGCAAGATAAGGATTATGAATTATTTTGCATGATGCAGAAATAAATGCTATAGATGATTTTAAAAATGAGTTGGCAAGAATTTATTTTCATACAGAGCTTGTTCAGATGACCCAGCAGCGAAAAGGAGTCAAGTGACTGGTCATGATTTCCTTTGTGATAGAGCAGTAAAATGAATAATGATTCTAGAAGAAATGACTCTTAAGTTATTGACTTCCACAAATACGCGTACGTTCACGCAAGTAACTTTATTTCACCTGTCCTCTAAAATAGCACAATAAAATCTTCCTCTTACCAATTTGCAGTTAGGACAGAATGTGTCACCTTATATAAGCTGCACTGCCTCAAGCATTGCTGAAGGTTGGAGAGCTTATATGATTTACTCACAGGCTGAAAGTCTCTGTGCATTTCCCTGCAAGTTCCATGGAACATAGTGTGGCATCCGAAATAACACGTTTAGGATTCTACCATAACAATCAAATTAAAGTTCAGTGCTAGGGCACTGTTAGGTTGTCGGTGCTCAACTGGCTGGACACCTTACATCCCTCATATGTACCATGTTTCCTTTATAGTTTCACAGCCCTGAATGCAAGCAAGGAAAAGAAGAAGAAGAAATACTCTGGAGCCCCAAGTTACAAGGAAATGCTGAAGAAGTTTCAAAAGGAAAAGGAAGCTCAGAAGAAGCGGGACAACGAGCCAAAGCTTATTGTCCCTTCTCTGGCTGAAACTCCAACACCGCGGGAAGTGGAAAGCCTGCCCGATCCGCTCCTCTCTTTCTTTGGCCACAGCAGTGACAATGAGCTCCTTCAAGCTGCCTCAGCCATGGACTCCCTGACAGATCTTGATCTAGAACAGCTGTTCAATGAATCTCCAGAAGAAAGCCCTTTCCATGACATGGAAGATGGGAGTGACCCTCTTGGGATGGGTCTAGAGCAGGACATCAAGCAGCCCCTCTCCCTCCCTGAAGGACTTCCAGGATCACTGGAGAAGCGCATTGAGGAACTGACACAGGTAACAGCAGATCATACCGGATGTGGCAATTGATGTCTCTTACAGGATAGACAATAGGTACAGTTCTTCAGGCTAGGAAGAAGCCTCAGGCAGAGTCAAGAACGCTGGTCCATCTAGCCCAGTCTTGTCTTCACTTCCCGGCCTTGGCTTTGCAGAGTTTTAGGCAGGGGTTTTTCTTTCCTTTACTTGGGGGTGCCAGGGATGGAAACTGACCTTTTGCATGCAAAGCGTGTGATCTCCCCTATGGTTGCTGCTTGCTTCCATGTTTTGAAGAGGTTCTTTATGGAAAGTCAGTTTGAAATATGGTGCACACAGGACAGCAGTCGAGGACAGAAGGCCGTCAGATTCTTGCTGTGGTCTGATGTGAGGTGGCATTCAGAGAAGTTGGGTTGTTAATGAGTGGCAACAGCCAAGCTGGCAGTCCTAGAGCCCAACTGAGCTGGGTGCTTAGGCAGTTGTGAGGTGTGTGTTCACATAGTGCCGTTCTGAGTTACTTATTGCATAGGTTTGTGGAGTAAGTGGTTGTACTGCTACACCTGTGGACTCTGGGGTACAGTTTGAGGTTTAGGTGGAGAGAATCTTTGTATTATGGTTTCAATCTATAGCAGAGCTACCTCTGTTCTAGATTAACTATGCATGCCTGAAAAGGTTAAGGCACCTGATTCCAGTAATGAGATATGGAATGATTTCCATAACTTTTTTTTCCTTAGAAAAAATCCTTAAAATGCGTATTTTTATATTTGCATTAAAAATACCTTAAGACCCAACTGTACCCAAAAACATAATAATGAATGCATACATTGCCAATCTAATTGTGCAGTTTCAAAGTTATAATTAACTTTTTTCATATTGACTAAGAAGCATATAGCAAAAAATTCTCTCTCATGCACGTACCCATTATATTGATTTGTGACTGGGAGTTGTTCGGGATGGGCATAAAATTAGAACCAAACGTGTGTATATTCCAAGCAATTTAGCACATGGGAAAATTTTATAGTAAAATTGTATCCTTTCCTATTTTTCCTCCAAGAATGCAAAGGGCTTTTTGAGAAAAGGCAGTTTTTGAAATTATATTCCTCGTTGAACCACAACCTGTTGCCTGAAAGGATGTTTGAGTCTGGAGTATCACATTACAATAAAATCTAGATAATCAATTAAATGCAGATGTTAAAACACAAATGGCAAAAAGGCAACCCAAGCAGAAAGATTCCATGCTACTTCTGAAGATGTCCAGACTTTGGGGGACCTTCCAGAGCAGATTGGGGTTCAGGGGGTAGAGGTTAGGAGAAGGGGAACCTCCATTGCATTTGCTGGCATGATGTTGAATCTCTCACTCGAATTTTGGCTGTTTTGTGGAAATGAATCTTGGCTTCCAGAACTGCAGGGGGAAAGTTCCAATGGAGGAATCAATACTGACTCATTTCAATGTTAATATTGCTGCAGCTTTCTACAGCTCTGGGCATTAACCTAGTTAGGCGGAATTGAAGCACCTTTCCTATTCGAAATGCTATGAGGCTGTGACTTCTGTAGAATATACTGACTTCTCCTCCCCCTTCCCCCCTTCCCCTTACACCCCACCCCAGTTGGCCCTTTCCCTGCATCTCTGGTTATTAACTATTCTGTGTTGGTCTTTTTGTGAACTCCAGGCTGCCAGGGTGGCTGAAGGAGAAGGCAAACACAAGTTCTTCAACCAAGAAATGAATAGCATATTGTTGGAGTAAGTCACTTTCCCAAATGTACCATCCGAACCCTGTGAGCTCAGAGAATGAAAGTGAGAGAATGGTGTTTGCGTAAGGCAGATGTAGGCAGAAGGTACTAGTAGTTCTCTGGGTGATTTCCAGTAGATTAGGAAGGGTTACTGTCTTCCAGCCATCAGCAATAGCAGCAACAATACGACTTCTTTGCTGCTGAAATCTGGCTGCCGAAAGGAAAAACCCTTGGAGCATAACCAGGAATGGTCATGGCAAGGGCCAGAGGTGTTTTGCCTCATCTAGGGCACATCCAATGGGGGCCAGTTTGTGCCAATTCAAGGTGCTGGGTCTTAAGCTTCCAAAGCTCTGCATGACCTTAAATACTTGAGAGAACTATATCTACCATAGGTATTGCTCCACATGTTCAGTCCTAATAGTGCAAGAGACTACTATATAAAAATGAATGGCAACAGCCAAGGAAATCTGCCCATAGTCCATGGAAACTCTTGTTCAGATTAGCTTTTGACTTCTACATAATACGTCCTTTAGACTTTGCCATTACTGTTCGCCACTGATTTCCCCCCCTTCTTGTTATTGTTTCATTTATTTTAAACCTTTAACTTTCTTTATTTAGATTTTAAATTGAAGCTTTTTAAAAGGGCCTTTGCAGTATTTTACTTTACCATGTTTTTCTTGGTCTCCCTTACTCTGCTGTCAAAGGGAGGCATTTGGATCAGAGCTAAATAGTTTTGCCTTTTTCTGCCCTCAGTATAGAGCTGCAAACTCGGGAGTTGAACAGCCAGGTCCGCTCAGGGGTGTATGCTCACCTGGCCTCCTTCCTGCCTTGCAACAAAGACACCCTGCTCAAACGTGCCCGCCGGCTTTACACCTATGAACAGGTGAGTGGTCACGTAAATGCAGTGCTACTAGTCAGTGTAAGGTACCGGTAATTCCCTCCTGAGGCCCACATGCCAGTGGCGGATGGGTTCAGAGGCAAAAGTGGGTGGACCAATAAATGTTTTAACTTTGTACACTAAGGCAGTTTTGTCTCACACATCAGTTGTCAACCCAAACAAGCAAGAAGCATAATCAGAGTTCAAGGACATCCCCATCAGGTAAAAACAAGGAGGGTGTGTGACCCAGGGAGAGTCCCAAGTGACAGATGGGTTGTATTTGGCACCCAGGCCCCTGGTGTAAGTGATAGTGGTGTCAACCATAGAAAGAAATGTCCCATGTCATAAACTGGATTTGTGAACATCTCTTTTTGGGCTCAGTGGCTGCTCATGGAGAAGGGAATGTGTGTTTCTGAATTTCAATGCTATGGCCATTTCTAATAAGGGATAAAAGGTTCCCACATGAGGGCTGGCCTAGATTTCCCTTTCTTTAACCTTGCAAAAAACAAATTCTTGGTGATGAAAAGGGAATTTTATTTATTAAAAGCTTTTTTATACCCCTTTTCCAAATTACCCAAAGTAATTCCTAACACATGAAAGAATAGAGCCATACAAAACACGCTATAAATTTCACAAAATCAAAGAGCTACAGGATAAAACAGGAGATGACCCAGGCCAGCCAAATGCCCATCAGCAGAGAAGGGTCTTGGCACTCCACTGGAAATGTAGCTTTCCAATCTTCTTTAGAACGTAGGTTCTATAATTTTGAAGCCATGTCTGAAAATATTTGACACCTAGCTCTTGCTGTCTGAACAAGCTCTAAATATTATTATTATTCATTTCATTTCTATACCGCTTTATATTTTTAAGGAAAAAAATCTCCAAGCGGTTTACATTAAAATGTCAAATAAAAGAATCCAGAAGAAAACAGTATAGAAGAAAGTCAAATATAAAGTATAACATTCAACGCAACATAATTAACAAGAAGTTAAATATGAAAGTTTAATGGTAAGCAAACTACATCTGAAGTCTAGACCTCGTTTAGTGACTAGGCTTAAATGAGTAAGTAAGGGGTGTGCAAAAGGAGTGCTTTCCTCTCACAAACAATCTCACTGCCTGTATGGGCACAACTTAGCATGAATGCTGGGTCAGAGTCCTTAACTCTTTGTTTTTCTTCAGGGAGGGCGGATGAAGGACCCTCTTCAAAAACTCAAGGAAGCCATTGGCAGGGCAATGCCAGAGCAGATGGCCAAATACCAGGAAGAGTGCCAAGCACACACCCAGGCCAAGTTTGCGAAGTGCGTTTTCAACTTGTTTTTGGTTTTTGTCTCTGCATTCCACTCCGTATACACCCAAAGCTTATACTAGTGGGGAGGGGGAATATTTTAGAAGTGGATCCAATTACCATTCTGCATTTCAGTGTCCCTCTTCTCTTCTCCTCTCAGGATGTTAGAAGAGGAAAAGGACAAGGACCAGAGAGAACGGGTTTGTTCAGATGACGAGGAAGATGACGATAAAGGAGGAAAGCGGATCATGGGACCTCGGAAGAAGTTTCAGTGGATTGATGAAATCAGGTTGGCAAAGTCAGAGGGGACAAGACTGGGTTTTACAGCCTTGTTCCCTGGCTTCAGGGAAAATACACCTGTATCTGCTTTTCTGGGCATTACAGCTTTATTTGTTGCCGAGTTGGTTCAAATGTACGGGGGCTGCAGTTTTCACCCGGGTCTTGGTGTGTTTTGAATTTAAGACCTAGGGTGGGGTGTCTGGTATGAAGATGTAACCTGGCTTCAGCATTTTGGCCTTGGCGTTCATCTTGAATTTGAAGCCCAAGATTGCTGCTAGATTTAGGAAAGATCTGTTGTCTGGTTCATAGTGGTATATACATTATTGTCCAAATACAAGGGCTGAACTTATTAAGGCTGTGTTTAAAATAACCTTCCCAAACTGAAGGGTTTGGGGGACAGGGGGCAAAGAGTATGGTCTGGGTAACCTAGGTAAACTTCCTCCTCTAGGGATTTGCTCTGTCAGGCGGTGAAAATCAAGCTGGACGGATATGACCGTGAAAAGAACAAGGCTCAGTCAATGGAGGATTATGTGAAGACTTTCCTGGATGCAGAAATCAAGCCACTTTGGCCAAAGGGCTGGATGCAGTCCAGGTGAGAGGGAACAAGGCTGACTAATCACTATGTGCTATAATTTAGACATAGCAGAGGCATCCCCAACATCCGAAAGGTACTCTAGGCCCCATCTCTGACCCCATTGGCAATGCTGGCTCTGTCCCACAACATCCTGAGGGACACAGGTTCCTCAGCCCTGCTTTCAATGTAGAGAGGGCAAGCCCACAATAATGGTCACTTTGAATGTCAGGAAATGGCAGTTCAGCCATTTTATTGATACCTGTAGTTAGGGCTGTGCAATAAATTGCCATACCCTTGAATACCGGTATTGAAATAACGTTGTGCTAAGTGTTTCAACAAGGCAATATACCTGTGAACAAAAGGTTGAAACTTGACAGCTTCGGAGCCTAGCCGAACAGATACTTTACAGATACTTTGCAGGCTTTGTTTGCTCTCTCCCTCTTCCCTCCTATAAGCCTTCACACAAACTAGGAAACTCTTTCAGCTTCACTGGTATGTTTCTTGCTACTTTCATCAGTGAGAAGGTAGTCACATCTCTCCTTGCTTTGTTGTCCCTCCCCTCTGAGAAATAAAGATAGAAGCCCTTAGTTGCAGCCAGTTTTAATCCCTAGCAAGCACACAAACCAACTCTTTCAGCAGAACTTCCTGCTCTCAAAACTCTGAGCTCAGCTACAGTGGTGCCCCGCAAGACGAATGCCTCGCAAGACGAAAAACTTGCTAGACGAAAGGGTTTTCCGTTTTTTGAGTCGTTCCGCAAGACGAATTTCCCTATGGGCTTGCTTCGCAAGACGAAACGTCTTGCGAGTTCTTGTGAGTTTGTTTCCTTTTTCTTAAAGCCGCTAAGCCGTTAATAGCCGCTAAGCCACTAATAGCCGTGCTTCGCAAGACGAAAAAACCGCAAGACGAAGAGACTCGCAGAACGGATTAATTTCGTCTTGCGAGGCACCACTGTATTTATGCAGAGCCAGCTAACAATCCAGGAGCAACTCCCCTGGCTAGGCTATCAAAGATCCAGGGGAAAAGTAAACAGGGAATGTCAACAAAGAACTGGAAAGCACTTCTTCCTTTCTTCCCTCCCTCCCACCCACCCACCCTCACTGGTGGAAAAAAGGGGAGGAAGTGTGTTTATTTCCCGCCTAAATAGCTTTCCTCCACATTAAAAAGGAAGGTTTATTTATTTAAATGAGACTAAGTCTTCGCTTGCTTGCTTGCTTGCTTGCCCTCCCTCCCTCCCTCCCTCCCTTTGATACAAAGGGAGAGATTGATGGGATGAGGGCTTTTGCGGGAGGTGGGAGGCTTCTCTGTCAGGGGGAAATGGAGAGGAGAAGATTTAACTGGTTGCCTTCTGCTGAAATGGGAGGTTGGCTATTGTGTGAGAATGGTGCGGAGGGTGTTTGTCGGTAAGCAGTGCAAGCAAATGTGTGTCTACTCACAAGCAAGCCCTACTAAATTCAATGGGGCTTACTCCCAGGAAAGTAATAGTAATAATAATAATAATTTGTTATTTATAATATTATTATTTATACCCCGCCCATCTGGCTGGGCTTCCCCAGCCACTCTGGGCGGCTTCCCCAAAAATATTAAAATACTGTAATACATCAAACATTAAAAGCTTCCCTAAACAGGGCTGCCTTCAGATGTCTTCTGAAAGTCTAAAAGTAGAAGTTTAGCTGAACTCATTGGGGCTTATGCATGCATAGATTCCGCTTAGACCTCTGAGTGGGGAAGCAGATGCAACTTTACTAGTAAATCACTTGAACTATTTTTAATTTAGTTGAAAATATAGTATATGGAAGTCATTTTTAATAAATCTACTACTTCCTTACATTGTAAAGCCCTCAACCGCCATGGGGAGGCGCAGCAAGCCCCCCACCACTGTGGGGAGGTACGGCAAAGCTCTCTGCCGCCCCAGGGAAGTGCAGCACACCATCCTCTGTGATGGGGCCCTCCACCGCTGTGAGGACTCCTGGTCAGGCCCTCTGCCTGCAAATAGGTGTAGTGAGGACCTCCATCGTGGGGATTCCCAGTGAAGCCCTTGTCTTCCGTGGGGAGGCACAGCGGGGCCCTTCTCCCCCGCAGGGCAGCCCTCAGCCGCCATGGGTATATATCATGATATATTGAGATATCATGATTTCTATTTGGTGATCTATTGTGATATTGAAAATCAGATATCACCCAGCCCTACCTGTACTGTGAGTGTCAGTGGCATGACTGCGAGTAGAGTAGTGGGCCAGGCAGCTGCATAGGATGAAAGGAGACCTGCAAAAGAGGTTGCTCCAGATGTTGAACAGTCTAAAGGGGTCTTCAGAAGGACAATATGCAGCATTGCAGCATGTATACTGATGGCTCACTTGCTGCTCAAGTTGGTCATCGTCATCTTTGATTTACATACATGGTTTCTAACCCACAGCAAGAGCTGTCTGCATGTTTTTGTGTAACTTTTCTTTACAACAGTGGGGTCTAGAAACTTCCTTTTAAAAACAGAAAGATTCTGTTCTCGGGATTCTGCTAGAGGCACTAGGATCTTAAGCTTGAAAGGCTCATTTCTGCTGCTTGGAGATCTGATTCCCAACAGGTCTGGCTCAGCTTCCTCTCTCCTTTTTTCAGGACCCTCTTTAAAGAAAGCAGGCGAGTGCATGGTCACCTTACATCAATTCTGTGAGTATCTGTCCATGCTTGCAGTACAGGAAATCTGTCTTGTGCTCGTGATGTTTAGTCCTTGGTCACGTTTTGTCACTCAGATGGCAACTGTGCCCGTGGATATCCTCCAGCATGGACAAACATGAACTTCTGCAGGGCCTTCTGCCTTATTGCATGTTTTTTATTTGTGGATCAGACATGAGAAATGGCGGAATAGCACTGCCAGCCCATCTTCGGTGGAATAGCAATGCTGGCAAAATCAGATAAAGTTTGAAGGAACAAACTGGGATCAGTATGTGCTATACTGTACAGCAGCAGGCATCCTTGGTGAATGTACATGTGAAGCTGCCTTGTGCGGAGTCAGGTCACTGACCCACATGGCCTAGTACTGTTTGCTCTGACTGGCAGCAGCTTTCCCACTGATTCCCTGCCCCCCGCCCCAGCTATGTGAGATGCCAGCAACTTAAAGGTGAGACCTGGCACATACCAACCAGGTCCTCTTCCACAGAACCACAGCTCATCTTTATATGTGTCTGCACCCCAAACACACACAACACTCCCCAAGGTTGTTCACCATTTGAGCATATGTCTCAGTTGTAACTGGCCCCCATGGATTGTCGTAGGCACTAGAAGGCTTAAGGTTCTCTAGCTGGCCTCCCCTGGCAGGTTGCATCATGCTGACCTGGAAGTAAGATCATCTCTTCTCTTACTTGTGTTTCCCTACAGAACAAAGAAGAAAGTCATGGCGCCTCCAAAGGTGAAAGGAAAGGTGAGCAGTTATACCTGGGCTCCTATTAGCACTCATTGTGCTAATAGGAGATTGTGTCTTCCTGGGACATATGAGAATATGGGGAAGATACAGTTGCTTCTTGTGTACATTGAAACAGCTCTCTCCAGGACCCACTCCTATGATTTGTGCCCTGAGTTTACATGGTGCTTTTCTAGATTTGGTTGTCAAAGCAATGTAAGCCCAGCTAGTTTCCTGCGATGATGGCCTTGGAGATGAACATTAGACTTTTAAATGTGTGTTTGGCAGGGGTAGGGGCAGACAACTAAGAAAAGTGAGGCCAAGGTCCAAGTGAACAAGATGAGTGTAAGCCAATGTAGTTAAAGGATGCTTAGGTACTGGCTTTGAGGGGTTTGAGCCAAAAACTTCATGGAAAAGAGGTTGCCTTCAAGTAGCAAATTGGTTGCCTTCAAGTAGCAAATTGGTATCCTTTCTGGATTAATTGCCTTCAAGTAGGCTTTGTCCTGATAGAAGAACTGAAGTAGTCTCTACAGCATTCAGCACTACAGCTGCAGGAAGTATCATGTTCTAGGAAAATGCATGTCTAGCTGCATCCAAAGCTCTCTCCAGATGTTCATATTCCTGCATTGCTTTTAATTTTGCTGTTGAAATTGCACAACTCCGGAATGTATGGTATAAAGAACTCTGCCACTTTTAACATAAAAGCAACCCCATTTTAATCTTCTCTTCCTGGTAGCAATTGTGCCTTTGCACAGCATGTACGCAGCTCCTTCTGTAATCCATTTTATCTAGAGCCTTTGGGCAAGTGATACTCCTTCAATTTAAAATGACTAAGAAAAAAATAGCTGGGCAAATAGCATTAAGTCTACAACCTGTCTAATCTCCCTTTCGGTCTTCCAGGAGTCGTCCTGTAAGCCAGATAAGAAGTCGCCCCTTGCTGTGCCCTTGATCCACTCAAGCAGCGGAGTTACGCTTTCTCCAGAGTCACAGGGAGTTGCAGTTGGCCTCAGCCCTCAGACCAGGGAACTCTTGGCCATGAGTTCAACCCCAACTCCCAGCAGCACAGCTGCTCCTCCCACTTTCAGCATGGACGACTCTCTGGATGAGGACTTGATCCACAATGCTGCCTCGTCTTTGGAAGCTGTCTCCAAGGAACTGGCTGTTCTTAACAGCCGGACGGGGGGAAGCCCTGACTTCACCCTCCCCGCCACCCCAAAGGTGCCTTTGGAGAAACCCCCCATTCAGACCACATTGGAAGAGAAGAGGAGCTTCTCCAAGCCAAGCCCCTCACCTGCCCCATCTCCAGCCGGCAGCTCTCTGCAGTCACCGCTCAACTTTCTGGCCGAACAGGCCTTGGCACTGGGCCAGTCTCCTCCGGACAAAAAGACAGAGAACTCCAGCTACAGAGAACTCTCCTGCCAGGCTCCCCCTGCCAAGATTCCGGATGCCCACCAGTCTAAGCCGAAGCATCACAGCCTGCCACGCACCGTTCATGGGCCCCAGACCTCGACCCCAGTCCAAACGCCCCAGGTGAAGGTGTTCCCCCTGGGCTCCCAGCAGCAGAAAAACTTTTCCGCATCCCCTCCCTTTGTCAAGCTGCAAGGTCCCAAGATCATCTCCCCTTTGCCCCAGCGGCCTCCTCTCCATCAGCAGGTCAAGACCCCCACCAAATCACCCGGTTTCCATTCTTCCTCCTCCTCCTCTTCGACCATCTCCCCAGGGTCTGGCAGCACCCACAAGACCCCCAATTCCTCTTCTCTGACTCTGAGCTACACGGGGAAGCACCCCAGTACCCCTGGCTCCTTGGGGCAGTCGTTCAAGTCGCCTTTTGTGGCCTTGTCACGTCACATGGCAGCTTCTTCCAGCAGCTCCACGTCCAGCATATCCACAAACCAAATCTCCTCCTCCTCCTCCTCCACGGGGAACCTGCTCCCAGGCACATCGCTTCCTTCTCCTGGGCAGGCTCCCAGTCGCTTGTCGCCAAGTTCCATGGTGAAGAAGGCCCTGGTCTCCCAGAAGCTGACCTTGGTTGCTCCACCGGGGGTCCGAATGTCAGTTCAAGCGGAGGGACGCAAGGAGTGGCCAAGTTGCTGACCTCTTCTTTGAAGCCCGCTGTAGTTAGCAGCACTGCAACCTCAACGCCTGTGCCGGTAAGTGGTCCCTCCCAGAGGCCTGATGTCAGCTGTTCCTTTTTCTTTTGCCCTGTGAACTTCCCTGTCTCCCTTGATTTGGCTGCTGCTGCTACTCTTTAACTCACTGTTACCAACTCATGCCAGTGAGAGCCAGTGTGGTGCACTGGCACAATGTGGTGCAACCTGGGAGATAAGGATTCAAATCCCCACTTGGCTACCAAGATCACTGGGTGACTTTGGGCCAGTTGCTTACCTCTCAGCCTGACCTACCTCATTGGTTGGTGGCTAGAAGAATCATGTGTGCTGTCTTCAGCTCCTTGGAAGGAAAGGTGAGATGTAAATATAGCCAATAAATAAGTGTCCTCTTTCATTCAGGAGACGTGTTGCAAGGCTGTCCACCCCCTCAAAATCTGGAAAGTGATTGCTAGAGCTGTGTGCCTGGCACACTTCTGAGGGACCTGCACCAGGTGGCATTGGGTGGGAGAAAACAGCTTCTCTTAGCTATTGGCAGTAATTTCTGGAGGCAAGGGAACTTTCTTTCCTGGAAAGGTTGAAACCCATCAATTGAATTCTGAGGTTGTGCACAAGCCTCTGTGTCACATGCTTCCATGACTGATGATCGTGGACCGTTTCTCTGTTCTTCTGATGGTTGCTTTCTCTCTCCTTCCCAGAAAGGAGCCAGCGGAGCAGTCCTACTTACCAGTTCATCTTCCTTGAACGTCCTGTCTCCCGCTTACAAGCCTGGCAACCCGAAGCTGCCAGCACCAGCCCTGAGTTCCACCCCGCTAGGAATTATCTCACCAATCCATTCCTTCCCTCTTCATGTGATTTCCTTCAGCTCTGAATCGTCCCCCAAGTCAGGGGTGTCGAAGGACGCCATTGTCACAGGACCGGCCCCGGGGACTTTCCATCATGGCCTTGGCCACAGTAAGTGTTTGCGAGGGAAATAGGGGCCCGCACTCCAGGGAAACAGCCGTTGTGAGCCCTGGGGGGCTTAATTTGGCCCTAGGCCAGAGTTTCCACACCCATGCGTTTAATGGTCTGGGCCTACCAGGGTATGGGAAGGCCCACTTGCTTCCACGTGAAGCTGCCTGATCCTTGAGATCTTCCTCAATGGCTCAGCTCAGGGTGCCTCTTAGGATGGGGTAGCCTACCAGGAAGAGGTAGCCTTTCCTTGGTGGTGGAACTGCCTCCTGTTCCTCATCGGCTATTGCCTGTGCCTGCATTTAGGTGTCAGGTAAAACAGCCTTGTCTGTTCAGTCACTCAGTAACTTTGAATGTACTGCATCAACATAATCTGCTGTTTTTTTTTATTTACTAGATGTCTATGCCTTTGTTGTATTATAGTGCAGTTTTGGAGCTCGTGTTGTGAGCCGACTTGGAAGCTACAGTTGTGCTGTGGGGTGTAAATAATTTTAAAGAAAGATGTGGGAAATGGGAAAGCAGCAGGAATGGCTTGCCCTGGGCAACAGTAGAGGTCCGACTGCCCCTGTGACCTATTCCATGATGGCTTGGTATGTGTGAATGGAGCCCTTGCCGTCACAAATCTATATTTTATATCCCTTACATTGCCCTGGATCAGTTGCTTTTCAGCAGAGTCAGTTCATGCAGTAATGCACAGGGATTATAACCCACTTTTGGTTTGCAGGGGCTCCGCTGAATGTCAAGCTCCACAACCAGCACTGGTTGGACAAGCCAGGCTTCTTTCCTCTTTTCCCCAACAAGTCTCAGCTTGAACTGAATTGTGCTTTGTAGCCCATCAGTTGAACTAGTTCCACTTGATTGTTGGCTGCAGAACTTGACAGACATTGGGGAGGGAGGGGCCGCTCTTCTTCATTAGAATCCATCAGCAGACATCTTCTTCTCTGCTTGTTTCTGTCTTCAACATACATTTGTTTCTCCTTTATTCCATCCTCCTCCTCCTTTTTCTCTCCTTTCTTTCTCTTTCTCTCCTCTTCCCCATTTTCTAGGTCTTTTGGCTGGCTTGCCCTCCAGCCTGCGCCAGGCAGCGCCCCTCCCACTCTCAGTGCTGCCTGCCCATTTAGCACACAGCCTGCCAGGTAACTCCTCTGCTGCTGCTGCTGCTGCTGCTGCTGCTGCTGCTGCTGCTGTTGTTGTTTGTCTTCTGCACTCGTGACTCACCCCGCAGGTGCCCTCCTGCTTTGCAGCAAGAGAGCCGCCACCCTTGCCATTGACTCCAGGTTCACAACTCGCGTGGTTTAGGAAACCTCTGTAAAGCCCAGGATGCTCTAATGCCATCCAGTTCTTTTATTTTGTAAGGAACAGATTTTATTCCAGTTTCAAACAATGTTATTTCAGGAGAAAGATACGAAACTATCCATTTCTTTTATTGAAGCTGTGCTGGAACACAGGAAGCTTAAATAACCCTTCCCCTTAAATATTAGGAAGCTGTCTTAAACAGAATCAGATCATTGGTCTGTCTAGCTCAGTATTGTCTGCACCGACCGGCCATGGCTCTCCCAGGTTTCAGGCAGGGTTCTCCCCCCACCCCTGCCTGAAGATGCCAGGATTGAACCCGAGGTCTTCTGCATGCAAGGTAGATGCTCTGCCACCAAACTACATACAGCTGCTTTCTCAGAAAAGCCCCAGGTTACAATTTTACACCCCCCCCAGGCCTTTCTTTCTGTGAAACACACATGTGGATTAACTGTTGCCCACATGGCACAAATGCAGGGCTGGGCTGGCTTTTAACATGGGTGGCTACAAGATATTTTCAGTGGCCCATGGAGAACCTGCAATATTTGACACTTTTCAAGGTGGGGGGCTTAGTTTCCACAGGTCCTGCTTGGCAGGGGGTTGGACTCGATGGCCCTTGTGGTCTCTTCCAACTCTATGATTCTATGATTCTATGATTCTAGGTCTTGCAATCTTGCCTCAATGAGAGTTTTAAATGTTTTTCAAAGGATTTCCTTTAAGCGTTCCTCAAATATCCACCTGGTTTTTGAGCTGCAAACGTCTGTGTTCACTGGGCTTCTTGAGCCCTCGTCAATCTTCATGTCTTTATTTCCGGTAACACTGACGCTCTAACTGCCCAAGTGGAGCTGGTCTTGACTGATCAGTCCCAAGAGGTGTTGAAAGCCTTGCAGCATTAAGTGGGACGAAGCATCACAGCTGCACTTTAACCCAGCGGTAAATTGAGTGGTGAGCACTAAATGAGCTAGCAGGGAGCAGAAACAGAGAGGAAAGAAAGAGGGGGAGTTCTTCATGACGGGGAAAGGGAGTAATTAATGTGGAGGTCAATAAAGTAACTTAGGGTGTGGGAGCATAAATTGTTTCATTTGGGAATGATTTCTAAAGAAATGAATGGAGAGGAAGCAAGAAGGTTGGTGTAGGAAGTTCTTCAAGTAGGCTTTAATGTTTTTATTTGGAAGACAAGGAATTACATTTGTGGGTAGGGAGAGGAAGAAGGAAGCATTAATTCCAGTAATAATAGTTCCTTACATGCTGGTTGTGGCCTCCACCTTACGTATCACCGATATATTTCTTTTTTAAAAAAAGAAATAGAAATAAGGTTTCTCTTTTTCTGCCATGCCCATTTTGGCATGTATGCCTTGGTGGATTGGCTGTGGCTCAGTGCAGCCCTCTGCTCGGAAAAGGTTCAGCAACCTGTTTTCTAAAGCCTTGAAACAAGACATGGATGCTCCTGGCTGCACTAGGTGTTCAGAGGAATTATATGGCAGTTGGCAGCCTCTTGTTAAACTTTCAACATAGAAGTCACTTGGGGATGTGTTTTTTTCTCATTTAGGAGGTCGTTTCTGTAGGTTGCCCAATCTCTCTGAAAGTGCAGAACATGGTGCCATGGCAACTTGGTTGCTTCCCCTGCCCCCTCCCTGCTAATTAATTTATTGCTTGTTTTTATTGCAAAGTTGTTGCTAATAACTTGTGGTGATGCTGCTGCTGCTGCTGCTGCTGCTACTTCTGTTTGTTGCGGGGGGGGGTTGTGCTGCTGTGTTGTGTATTTTAAATTGCGATGTTTTAATTGCTTTGGATCTTGTGGAGAACATAGGAAGCTGCCTTCGTTCAGTCAGACCATTGGTCTACACTGGCGGGCAGAGGCTCTTCAAAGTTTCAGGAGAGGTTGGTGATTGAGGCTGGAACTTTCTGCATGCAAAGCAGATGCCCTGCTAATGAGCTCCAACCCTTCATTCACTGCCTTGGGTATCTAACATACTCAGAGTGTAGAAATAGCATTTACATTGCTTAGGAACACTTCACTGCATAGTAACAACACTTCAGATAACAGCACAGAGTGCAGTTATTATTAGCTTTTCTTCAAAAGCATGGAGTAAAAAATATTCCTCTCTTGGGAGACCCACATTCAGGAACCCTTTCCCAAAGGAAATCCACCTCATTGCTTTCCAGTGGCCAGGGGAATAGCACGTATTGGTGCAGGAGCTTTTGAGGTCTCGTGGATGCGATTGGATGGGTAGATAGCTGAAGCTTTGTAAGCTGACCTTGAGGAAGCATGCTTTGGAATATGTTCCAGAGCCGGGGTAGGGGAACTGTGGCCCCCTAGATGTTCCAGGACCCTAACTCCCACCATCCCTGACTATGAGCCTTGCTGGCTGAGGTTGATGGAAATTTGAGTCCAGCAACCTCCATCCCTCCTCCAGAGGATGGGTTTTGCTGTCTTGCTTGAGGTCTACAGGCTGAACTTTGCAAGTGTGCATCACATAAGTGCTGTGCCAAATAGCAACCTGCAAAGGAGCTGCCACAGGGAGAACTCTCTCTTTGTGCCTCCGCTGCTGTGCTTTTGTCTTAGTCTACACCTGTAGTGCAACATGGTCATAGAATGGACTGTTAGTGCTTGGCACATTTAAATTTTATTTTTTAAAGCATTTATTGAAGAGGGGTTGTAGCCTCCCTGTTGTGTGAAAGGGTTTGCTTTTACTTAGCACAGTATGCCATTCCTTCACCTATATAAGGAGCACAGTGCATTGTACCATCCTGGAACTCTACAGATTTTGTCACATTTTGCTGCATGTTTAAGACAAATCATCCATAACTCATCAGTACTTGATTACACCAGTGATGCACTATTGTGAACCAGGCTTACTCACCAACCATACGTGATATCAAGAAGAGTCTTGGGTGTGTTTTTGCCTGCCCACAAGACCCAGGATGAGAGAGAACTTAGCTAGGGGAACCTAAACCTTTGTTGTGCACATTCATTGGAGCATGGGAACATGGGTACCATGTTTTCCTTCTTCCCTACTATCTGTCTTCCTCTTCTTTGGTCCCTGCCAAATGCTTGAGAAAGCCTTACTGTCCCATGATGCAGTACAAAGGACAGCAAGGCCCAAGCTGTAATCATTTGAGGATCCAATTCTGTTTACAGAACTTCAGTTTTTCAGTCACAGGTTTTTTTCAGACTGCAGTGATCATCCCTTCCTGTCTGTCAATGTATCTATTAATTAAACTCTTTAGTAGCTTATGGCTAGTAACACTTGCTAATCATTTGGTAAACTAAATGTTTGGAGCTTCCACTGCTGGGGCGGAGACAGTAATAGTTCTTCTTTTGCATCTCTTTCAGATACATCTCAGCTGCATGGTAAAGGGTCCAATGTACAGCCACGGAAATTGTGACAGTTCGAAAGTTGAGGACATGACAAGCCCTGATAGGGACTTGCAGAATGAAGCCACGGACGCAAGGTGCCCTTTCTCCCCACCCCCCGTTCCTTTTTGAATGGAGTTGATCTGGAGGTTCCTTCCCTGTTTGGACCAGTCCCTTTCCACAGGGATCTGTGCCTCGCACTAAGAAAGGAAGCACTTAACTGGTGCCGTTCTGGCAGCTGCCCTGGCTTCACATACTTCAGGCACCAGAGTGGGAGGGAGAGATGCAGGTAGGGCTCTAGAAGCTGAGCACGTCAACCCAAGCCCTTCTTGTCACATACCTCTGAATCCAGTTTCTCACTCCTTGATTTTCCAGTGGACTATGTGAAGGTGCTTGAACATTCCTGCTTTGGGTTTACTTGGCTGGCTTAAGCTAATCAAAGAGTGATAGTCACAAGTGGTTCCTCCCCCCCCCCCTTATGGTACCTGTAATAAAGCTATGCTGACGTCAACCAAGAAGACCCACCTTCCTCTGTGGCATCTCTTGTAAAGTCAATCAGCTCATTGGTCTTCTCAGAAGAACAGAGACTTGTGAGGCCTTGAGATGCATTCATGAACATTGGCATTCTGATCTTTTTGTGTTGCTTCTCTGCCTTTTATTTTCTGGTATGGTCAATCCTGCCCTCTTCCCTGCCCTGTCATTACCACTGAATGCATAGGATTGGACAAGTCCCCTTTCTTTCCCAGCATGTCATTGTGTATAGCAAAGCCGTAATTCCAGTGCCTTTTATGGTGGAGCAAGAGTGCAAAACATTTCAAGCTCTTTTTGTGTGGGCTCTCTCTTTTGTTGTTGTTTTCCCCCCTCAAAAATTCTTAGCTGTATTTAAGACGTGTTGGGCTTTATTTGATAAGAGCTTTTTCCCCCTGGAGTTATACACTACTTTCTGGACTTGACCTTGTGGAGTTGCTTAGTGCCAAGCAGAGTACAAAATAGATATTGATCACTAGGTGTGGAGTATGTGGACCTGAGTTTCCCCAAAAGCAGGGATGGGGAACCTGTGGTCTACCTGAAGATGATGGACTGCAAACCCCATTGTTCATGACCGTTGGCTATCCTGGTTGGGGATGGTGGGAGTGAGAGGGCCACAGATACTCCATCCCTGCCCTAAAGCTGTTTCCCCGGACTCAGATTTCAGCAGGTGTTCTGTAAGCAAGGTGAGATCTAGAGCTCTACTTTTGCTCTACTGGAGGAAAGAGTTCTGTATACCGGTGCACAGAGACATGGGTGTGTTGAGCTGGCCCTCTGTAGGACTACTGGGTTGCGGACCATTATCTATTTGGAGATGCTGTGCTAGCACCAGCATGATAATGGAACCATTGTATTCTGGTGACAGGGCAGTTCCCTCTGAGAACCTTTCCTGTGCAATCACTGGAAATTGGGCTTGACCCTCTTCATTTAAGAGCTTGCTCAGGCTTTTCTAAGAAGCTTGGTGGCTAAGCTCTTTTGTGGAGGTCTGGGGAGTAGTGTAGGCTCATCAGGGCCAGCGCCAACCCAACCAGGGCTCTTTGCTGGAAAGTGAAAGTGGCTGTGCATCAGAGCTGTCATAAATACCTTGCTTTGAGGAGGTGACTGACAGCTCAGTTGGTCAGTGGGTAATTTGTGTAAGAGAACCAGGAAGGGGTGGGGGCTGAAGGACTAACTAAACCTTCCCCCTCTTCACTTGACCTTTTTGTCCCAGCATGCTGCTTGCCCTGGGGGGAAAAGAAGTTATGAAACACATTGCCACAAAGAGGGGCACATATGGCAATCCCTGTGAAAAGAGGCTTGCTGGAGCAAGCGGCCTCTTCTGTTCCTGGAAGGCCATAGACCAGGTTGGGGCCAGTGGCTGTCAAACAAAAACTGTTCATAATAAACCACATGGCTCCTCAAGGTACTCCCTTCCCTTCAGAGCCCTACATTGGATGGTTCTTCCTTGGTATCAGAAAGCTCTTGATCCTCTAAGTGGTGTGAGCCCCATTGTTTTAAAAAAAAGAGAAAGAAAATAAATCACAATGAGTTCTGCTTGGATAATGACCAAATTTGGAGCCAACTTCATTCCTTCAACATGCCTGTTTTGAAGTCCAAGTAAATATGGACATAAACCCTAATTAATTTGTACATCTCCCCAACAAAATGAATTGGATAATGTCAAGTTTATTTATGAAAATATATCCATTATTTCCATGAGAAAATAAGAATAATAAAAACACTAGGTTGCAGTAAAAGAGCCAAAGACCAAATGTTAAGGTTGCCAGTTTTGAAGCACAGAAGTTTGTAATAGATGGGCGTGTTTTTTGTTTTTGCTTTTTCTGGTCAGGCCTCAATCCTGCTGGGTGCTAATTACCTCTTGTGAGAACTGTTTTATCATTTCGACAGGATTGAGGCCTTCTTGAGCTACTTGCAATTCCCCTCTTGTTGCTCTCCCTTGAAAGCTTCTGTTGTCAAAAGCTACCTGTGCATTTGCAGTGGCTGGAGCAGAAACTTCTTGTTTTAGAAAGAAATCTCATGAAGCCTCTTGCCTCAGGGAAATGTTATTTCTTCCCCCTCCTCCTTCCCCGCCTTTTCTTTTGCATTGAACAGTGAGAGAACTTAAACAGAGCCATGGCAGGGCAGGGTCTATCAGCGTTTGGTTGGGACAAGAACAAGAGCACTGGGGTCTCTCTCTCTCTCTCTCTCTCTCTCTCTCTCTCTCTCTGCCTTGGCTTTGACCCTTTTGGGAGATTTTTGTTTATGGTGGGCATGTGCACCACCAGATGGCACTTAAAAACTTAGAAAAGCAGCTTCTTTGAGTGTGGGAAGAGCTGCAATTTATTTTTGTGTGTGTTGTGGGTGGGTGGGTGGGGGCAGGGGCCTTTCTAGGTAATGAGGAAGATGGAGGAGACGTTTAAAATGGCTAATCTTGTATACAGCAGCTGAATAAAATTGTTTTCCAGTTTCCAAATTGCTGTTTTCATTCTCTTTATTTCCAAAGAAAGGGCAAAGAGGTGACCATAACTCAGTGGCAGAGCAGCCACTTTGCATGCAGAAAGTCTGTGGGTCCATTCTTGGCATCTCCAAGCAGGGTGGGGAAAAGACTCTTGTCTGGAACCCTGAAAATCTGCTGCTAGTAAGTACCAATAATCCTGAGACAGATAGGTCCAGTAGTCTGTCTCAGCATAAGACAGCATCTCATGTTCCCATACTTGAGACTCTGCCAGTTAGAGTAGATGAGCAAATAGTTTGACCTGTTACAAGGCTGCTTCCTTTGAACTGTGTTGGGAATGCAGCATGGCTGTTTTGTTTTTTAAGCTTTCCGGAGGCTTAAGAAAATTCTGTCTCCCGTCCCCAAACCATACTGCCAGCCATCTTGGTATTTATGTGTGGGGCTGCTTGTTTTGAATTATTTTAAATGCTGCAGCCTGTGTGCACTGTGCACAATTTATTTTGTTTTCTGTTGTCAGGTAGAGGGACTGTGAGCTAGTCAGGCCCTTGGATCCTGGCAGTTCTACTGAGCCTGGAGATTGCACTAGGCCCATGACCTCAGAAAAAACTAGCAGCTGAGATGACAGTCTCCATTCTTTTTCTGCACCTGCTTGGATTTGTGAAACACAGCCTGTCTATACAAACTGTGAAAATGCCAACGTTCTCCACTTTATATGTCCTTTTACAAACAGTGGTGTACATACCAGATGCAGTGAGACGCCCTGCATATCGTATCTTTTATGTGAACAAATGAAATGGCAAATATTAAATGGGAGGAAATCATCAGTTTAGATTGCTGCAGAGTATTTTTTCATTTATTTGGGTGCATAAATAAAATTTCCCATTCCCTTCTACAATGCATACTTTGAGAATTCATACAGTCAAATAACAACTAAGCAAACACCAGCACAAATATCATAAGTACCCACTGTTCCATTCTAACAGTGACAATGGATTGAGAGGCACTTTTGGGGATTGTTAACTGCAGCATCCTCTATTTAACCTCCTTTCCTTTTTAAGGACTGGAGCTTCCCTACACAAGTATGACCTGAAAGATAAGCAGGTCGCTCTAAACATACACACACATATCGTTTACTGTCTCAGTTACACAATGATACTCACTATCTTAGACTACGTACTAGAGTCTGACAGTTTATTATGTAGAAAGTAGTTGCACTGTGCTTAAGTGTCATCTTATGCTGAAGCTTCTACAAATGTATTCAATGATCACAGCATAGCATTGAACAGTGTCTGCCTTTAGACTGCTATTCTTCGCAGTAGCTGGTTACTGGGTCTCCACTGGTGAGTTTATTCTTCCTTTGGCTTTATTAGTATTGTCTTTAAATAACATCCAGGAGTAAAAACCAGTTCCTGCGGTAACAATATATGCATATAGTACTTTAGAGTGCTCAGAGTTTCACATACACTCAGCTGTCCTTACAACAGCCCTGTAAGATAATGCTAGTGTTTCTCCACACATTGCAGAGATGAGGGTTAGTCAATGTGATGCCTTCCTGAAGTTGTTGAACTACAGCTCCCATTGTTGCTGGCCATTGGCCATGCTGGCGGGGAGTTGAGAGTTCAACAACATCTGAAGAGCACTAGATTTGCTACTCCTAGGTGAAGGGGCTTAGGGGAAAAATGGCTCACCAAATGAGTTCAAGATTAAGTTGAGATTCAGATGGGATTTCACAAGTGTTCAGCTATTACTCTTAACTACTTCACTAAGGGAATGTGTTGATAGAGACCACATGAGCTTGGAAAGCCAAGCTGGAGAGCTCTCATTCAAAAATAGCATTGGGTAATCATTTGATTTCTACCCACTCCCTGCCACCCCAGTGCACAGAGGGGTTTGCCACTGACTGGCGGGGTCAAAAGTAACATGCAGCTTTGGCAAATTGGAGCATTGGCCTGGAGTGGCAAGTCATAAATATTTTTGATAAAAGCAGGTAAGTGCAGCTTAAAAGCACCCTAACGTTGGAGAACAGGCACTAGGTTTGGGGAATATACACCTATTGGAAGCAACAGGTAGTAGAAGTCCAAGTTTGTAACATTTGGTACAGCTCTAGACCAGCCGCTTAAGAATAGTTCTTTTTTTTTAAAAAAAAGCAACATCTCTCTTGAAGCAGCTATTTCTGTCCAGACACCAAGACAGCCAGCTCCTGGATGGACAACTCCTTGTTGAGGTAACTGTCGTACTGAGCCATGGTTAACCTTCCGCTCTTCAAGGCATCTTCAATTGAGAACTTCTTCCCTGACTTCCTGTCAAGGATTACTGAAGATTCGCCACTTGGCCCTTTCATTGTGATCTCTTCCCAGTCGCATTCTTGGCTCTTCAGTTTGACGTACAAGCTCCACTCAATAAGCCCGAACCTGTGGGCTTCTTCTGGTGACATCTCTTTCCCAGTGTCTGGATCAATGACCACAATGGAACGTCTCAAGTGATTTTCTCTCTGCTCCCTCTTGATAGCTACTGTCTGAAGACGGTTTTGAAGCTGTTCAATCTCGTTGTCTTTGTCTTGGGATAACCTCTTCAGATCATCCAGCTCTCTCTGCAAAGCCTGGAACCGGGAGTCTAGGTTCACGCCGCTGTCCACCTGTGACATGTTTCTTAAATCCCGGGTTTCTGTTACTGTGAGTTCAATCTCCGATTGCAACCTCCGCATCTCCAACAGAAGGTTCTGCTTTTCCAGATGCAGCTTGTGGTTTTCCTCCCTCAAAAAGTCCAGCTCCTTGGAAGACTTGGAGTTGTTGAATTCCACTTCTGACAACTTGGCCTCTAGCCTGTTGATGTCCGTGTCTAGTTCCATCTTCCGCCGGCTTTCCTCCTCCAGGTTGTTCTTCAGCTTCTGAATCTCGTATTCAGTGTCTCCTTTCTCCACTTGGATGCTCTCAGAGAAGACTACTTTCTCCTTGACTTCCATCTTTTCTAGTGCCTGCAGTTTCTTCTGCAGGGCTTCCAACTCGGCCTGCAGGACTTGCCTCCTATGTTTTTCTTCCTCCAGCTCCAGCTTAAGCAGAGCATGCTCTTTCTCCTGCTGCGGATCTTGTTGGAGGATCACCTTCTGTTTCACGGTGACTCTCTCTGTTGTCTCCTTCACCTGCTCCTCCAGCTCGCTCAGCCTGATCTTCAGCCTCTGCACCTCCAGCTCTGCCTCCCGCCGTGCCTGCCTCTCTTTCTCCAGCTCATCCAGCTGGCGCTCCAGCTCCGACCTCCTCC